TAAATTTTTATTTTTCAGAAACTTAATAATGTATAATTTTTCATGTATGCACAAAGGACATGGGTCATTTATTGACCTACAAGCTCTAGCTCTTATTAATTTCCATTTTACTGCTGGTGTTTTATTGGTTTCTTTTAAGTGCCAGAAATAGATAAGTGGATAAAGTGTATAGAAATAAATGGAATGCAGTTATTGAGCAATCTGACGTATTATAGTTTTTCAATAAATTTACAAAAGCTATTGATTGATCATTGATCACCAACTTTGGTTAAATGTGAATCTGATTTCTTGAGGAATTTTAGAAATTTTATTAATGTTCTGCATTATAAAAATAAATAGGTTTTTGTATACTTTGCATTGTTACCTTAATTTGATTTAAAGGAATTTTGTAATCTGTGCATTGCTCTTACTCCACAACATTTAAGAAAGATGAAAAAATGTGTGTGTGTGTGTGTGTATATATATATATATATATGTGTGTGTGTGTGTGTGTATGTATGAATATGAGTGTATATATATATGTGTGTGTGTGTGTGTGTATGTATGAATGTGAGTGTATATATATATATGTGTGTGTGTGTGTATATATATATATATATATATGTATGTGCATGTGTGTATATATGTATGTGTGTATATATATGTATGTGCATGTGTGTGTGTGTATATATGTATGTGTGTGTATATATATATATATATATATATATATATATACATACATTGTGTGTATTAGGCAGCATTTTTTCATTGATGCATGTTTCATTAAATAATATAGACAAATTTTGTCTGTTTATTTTATGTAAATTCTTTTCATATTGTCTGATAAGCTTAATAACATTATCATTAAAAAAAGAAAGAAAATCACAATATTGATACATATTTTTTTAACCCTATCTAATCTTTTGGCTTACATAAGCCATTATCAAAGATGACAATTACATTATAATATATTAAACAATACACGAACAAAACAATAATGATAGTCTGTTTTTGTTTACATGGGAGATTTCCAAGCCACAACAAACTCGTGCATACATATACACATACATATCTTTGAGTGTGCTGGCCTTGTTCAGATTGTACATCATGCTAGATAACACACCCTGTCCCAGAAACTGTAACTAAGGTCTGCTCAGCATAGTTGCAGTATAAACCAACCCCAAAAATCCTTTTTTCAATGTTTGTTTAAATTAATCAATTAAAAGCTTAAAATGTTCACTTGTTCATTTTTTTTTAACTCTTTTGTATATGGTCTTAAGATTTTGACCAGTGGTGTGTGTGTGCATACATACATACATATATATATATATATATATATATATATATATATATATATATATATATATATACATGAGATCCTAGATATGCTGAAGCTATTTGAGAGCATGAATCAAATTCTCAGGTTAATGCTTGGCTTTGCAGCACCTTGTGGTTTTGAGTAAAACTACACCTAGCACAGCTTATTTTCTGTTAAATCTCCTTTTCTCTTAAACCAAATTTGTTATAACTGATCCTTACATCAAGGTATTTGATGGGTTTAGTATTTAGTAATTCTACGCCCTGAAATTTTATAATGCATTCAGGATAGGTGCTATCACTGCTTTCATTCCAATTCCAGATCATAGTTTCTATTTTGTAAACATTTATCTTGATTTCTACTCCTTGAAACATTTGGTAGAGGATGTTGGTTTTTGGTTTGGGATCACTCTTTTTCCAACTATGAATACCTCTGTAACCAGCACAGTTCCCACTACTCATCAGTACACTGGTTTTGTGAGGGAAAACACAAATGCTGTTTTCAGTTAGATTCATTTAGGATGTGTTACGGGGACAGTCCAACTTGGTGTAATGGTTAGCAAACTTGTTTCACTAGATCAATTACTACTGAATAATGAGTTTGATCCTCACTGGGTGCCACATCTAAACTATTCTTAGAAAATTAATTTACTCCTCAGTATAGTGCATTGATTAGCAAATCACTATTTGGGATGTGGTATCGAATGCTTAAACGATTGGTACCCATCTCTTCTGCACAAACACTGGTATGTACATATGTATGTTTAGTGGGCCAATATTGTTCCTTTGTCATATCAAAATATTCGATTGAGCCAGATCTTAGAAGACAATTTGTATTGGATGAGAAGAAGAGGTCTCAGTTTCCTTTCCAATGCATTTAATCAAATGTTTATAAAATGAAATTGATCAAAATTGTTAATAACTGTTTCAGGTGATGGTTATAATTTGATTGTAAAAAATAATTTTTTTGTTTATGTTAATTGATGTTACAAAATAAATAAAGGAAAATAAATATTTAAACCTTTGAGAGACCAACATCTTTCAGAAAGATTTTTCATGATGAAGCCTCTTAAAAATCTCTTTCCACTATTATTGGTGAGGGATCCCCCCTCTGCACACACACACACACACTTACACTTTGTTTGCCAGGACACTGTTAGGTGGCACTGTTAAACAGCTATAAAAATGGGACACTTCCTGTTTCTTCCTCATTATCTTCTAGCATGCATTAGAAGTAACACCAACATGGAATTTGTTCCCAGCTTGGGGATATCATTCCTTAGGTTACTGAACTCTTTCACATGCACAGAAACACATTTATCTCACACACATATAGACACACACAGTTCCTAGATTTTAATGTTGTCTTTCTTTTCAGCCATTTTTGCATGAATACAAGTATATTTTATTTCTTGTTAATCATTTATTAGCAATATATACAAGTGCATGAAAACATCACCTTGTTGAAATTATTCCATTTCCTTTCACCTCTACAAGTAATGACGACCCATTATTTACATGTGTAAATTTTATTTGCTATTGCTTTTAGTCCAATTAGAAGCAGTACTGCAACACTGATAATTTTCATAAATACATTGTTTATTTAAAAAATAATGCCACTCTTATGTTGCAAAACCAGTTATATAATAATATTTAAACTTCATAGCACAGATAAGTAGTTCAAGATTACTTTATTCCAGAACATGAATATGGAATTGTAATTAGAAAAATGGGTTGGACACACATTTAACATATCACTGATAATACAATAAAAATGACTAGTTCTGGACTCATGCCTTTCCTGAAAGTATTAATGCAAAATAATAAGAGTCGACAACTAGGAAATAAATTCTTTTTTGACTTTTTCTGCTTTCTTATTGCAATGTTCTCATCTATGTTGCTTAAAAATTGTTTTAGTAGAACTTATGCCTGAGGTAGCAGTGATTTAAACATAGACCTCGCAATAAACAGGCTAATGTTCTATCCTCCTAATAAACTGTCATTGAGTGCATAGATAATTCAGGGATTTCAGATAAAAAATATAGCATGGATCCTTTAGAGACAGCTATCTATTTTTGTAAAATTTTTGCCTTGACATTTTGTTGTTTTGGAAGCAATAACAAAGTTAAAAAAAAAAAATGAAATTCTTTTTTATAGGATTAAAATTGGTTCTACAGTTTGTGTAGTCTCAATGAGAATTTTTTCTTTTGTTAAAGAACCTAACAATTTTCATTTTAAATATTATTTTATACTTCTTACTGCCCAGTGGATTTTGATATGGTAGTTTTTGAGAAGCAATATCAAGTGTACAAAAATGGATTTCATTTTATGAAAAATATTTTTCTTGAAACTCCATTCAAGTTTTCTGGTACAAAGATAAGCATTATAAAGTTTCCAATGAGTGCATTTCTATCATTTTTTTTAAGTTTGGTAATACACTGTCAGATTTTTATTAAGTCAGTCAATGTTTTTGCAATAAAATTGGTATTAACTTTCAGGAAATATGCAAGCAATACATTGTGTGAGTTTTAGTTATTAAAAATACTGATAATTTGTTTTTTTTGGGGGGGTGTCAGGTTTTATTATGAAAACAAAGTACCACATAAATCCTTATTTATAAATAAATCCAAAAGACAGGTAATTGAAACAATTTATTCAGGTATATGAGATATTATTTTACATGTTAGTACAGTGTAGCAAAAAGAAGAGAGAGAAACAAAAAAGTGACTAGAGGGTTTGCCGGCAAACCAGCTGTTCTTCTTCGCCATCGGTTGACTCAAAGAAATGAATTGTGAGACTCCTTTTCTTGGCCGTTACACCGGGTAGTCGTGAAACGGACACCCAAATCAAACGTGCCTACTTCAACCGCCTCTTGGTCTGCCAGTCTATTTGCACATCTGACTCTGTTTCACAAAGTCTGCCGAATGACTCTCCTTCTGCTGTGCTACTGGCGCCTCGCCTTTTTATGCTAGTCCGACACTGCTGAAATTTGCATGTGTACTGGTACAATCTCGTTTTGGACGAGACTGGTGCATATGAATCGTGTCTTTGACAGCAGCCATGTTTCCTTTTGGATTTGTCATGCATGCAAGACACGTTCGCACACGTTTCGAGCTCCTTGGTAAGTCATCACATACAGGCTTCAAGATATTCCATAATCTTCATCAGTCTTTGAACAATTAATTTTAAAAAAACTTTTCTATTGTTATGACTTTAAAATTACTTGCAGTTTTTTCTCATTGCTTACCAAAGATCTTTGCTTGAATATTGTTTTCTATTCTCATATATTATCTCTATTTTAATTCTGGGCCACAATTTTTTCATTGAATTAATATCTAGAAAGGCTAGGAGCTGTTTCATTTAGTATTTTTGAAACCCTGTAGAATGAGAAGTATTGATTGATTGATTGATTGATTCCTTTTCTATGGATTATAAACCATTTGCAGGTTATTTAAAGCCAGAAAATATATTTTTTAGATTCTAAGAATTACTTTTTTTTTTTTTTTTTTTTTAAGATAATAAGGTTTAGTGATACAAGTCTTACTAATTAATCCATGGCTGGGGGGGGGAGAAAAGGTGGATTCATACCTTACCCAATGGTATATGTGTGTAAGTGATTAAAACAAACCCAACTGGGAATTGGAACTCAGTTTTCAGATTAAAAATTCTGAGCCAGCATCCATTAAACCACCTGGACATCCAAGCTTACAGCATCTAGTATTCCCAAATGGTCACCCATCTAAGTGATGACCAGGATCAATGTTGCTTAACTTCAGTGATCATATGGGAACTGGTCTTTCAATGTGATGTGGCCATAAGCCAGAATCGAAAGTAGCATTGACTTACAGGAATATACTCTTTATTGTAAAGCCTCTTGATTCTAATATACACAACTAAAAAAATCTTTGCATTTGTTTTGAACAACCCTCAACTTTGAAGGAACTTATAATTATATTTGTTGAAAATAATATCCAGAAACATTATTCTCCTATTGTCTTCTAAGTAACATTGGTTGGCTATTCTGTGAAAGCTCTAGACTTTAATTCATCCAATGTAGCTCTACATTCCTTTGGTTCAGTCCTATGTAGCTCTACATTCCTTAAATTCATTCAGTGTAGCTCTACATTCATCACTAAAGACTACTATTGAAACATTTGCCCAACTTCTACGTTTCGCTTTATGATTTTTTTTTTTTTTTTTTTTAAGTATTTCACCCCAAGTAAGGTGGGAGTGCCACTGGCACTCAAGGTTTTATGGAGAGTGATAACAATACTAAAAAGGTGTGATAGAGGAAAGGATGAAGCAGAAGGATAGGGAATAGATCAAGGCATCTGGAGATGTTGATTGACATTGCATTTGAATATTTGGAGATTATAGCTATCAGGGAAGTAAGTAAGAGAAAGGGAGTTCCACAGATGGGAAGTGTGAGACATGAAGCTGTTGGAGTAGAAGAGATGGCTGCATTTAAATGTTTTGACAGTGAAAGGGTGGGACTGAGATGCCACTTAGAGGTGGTAGTTTGCTTGCTTTTTTTTGTCTTTAGCCAATGTTGTTAATATTCTGCATCTGTTTATATTCACAGCACATGCTTTGCCAGATATTTTTTGGTAGTTAATCCACTTTTTTGCTTATGAACCTTTTCATTTTTTTCAAATCTTTCTTATGACATTCTTGAAGCTATCTTTTTCTTTTGGTAGTGTTTTCAATTTTTCCCTCATCACCCTTCAACTATTTTCACAATTTTCAACATTATGTCCCCATTGCTTAATAACTTTATAGTATCTTGTTTTACTTTTGAGTCTGTCTTTCTTATGACCATTGGCAAGTTTTCATATCTGAATGAAAAACAAACCAATAAAAACAGGTAGCTATATCATGTATATTTAAAATATGATTATATATATATATATATATATATATATATATATATATATAGTCAAATCCATTACATTCACTGACATGCTACTAATACCCTTAATATCCTCATCTTCTGCCTTGAATGGCAACTGGTCTAGGAGAAGGAAAACTCTGAATTCAAAACCTGAGGAGGGTCGTTTGGGGACCTTGTGGCATGTAGTGCACCAGGTCACTGTATTCGGCCCCTCAAAAAGTGTGGTTGGTTCTGCACAAATCATGTGTGTTGCTATCTGGGCTGTTGGTTTCTAGGAACTGAACTACTTGACACTCATACATTGAATATGATGGGAGAGTCCACCATATATATATATATATATATATATTGTGTGTATTTAGGTAGCATCTTTTCATTCATACACGATTATTTGTTTATACCAATGGCTTCCCATACTTCATACTTCTCCAATTCACTCTCACGTGGTCATGTGTGACATCATGAGATGAATTTCTTTCTTCGTTCAATGATAATGTTATTAAACTTATTGGATGTTATGAAAAGAATTTAAATAGACAACACTTGTCTATATTATTTAATGAAATGTGTATGAATATATATATATATATATATATATATATATATATATATATATATATATATATATATATATAAAAAAATGTAATTTTAAGGTATGCATTATTCATGGAACAAAAGTGCTCCATACCAGGGGCAGAGCATGTGTAAATATAATCAGAGTAGATATAGGTATTAACACTGGATACCAACAGCCTGTTTCATAACTAAACAAAACTCTCAGTATGAAACCATTTTCACCACTGAGTGATAATACCTATGTTCACAATGCTTATATATCTTGAAAACTTTACCTACATAGGTTGGGTAATATCAATTTTATTTGGGAAGCATTAACCTGCATAATAAAATGTGACATAGTTAAACAAAAATTTAACTAAATTCATATTTTAAAAAGTTATTTAAAATCAAATAAGGAGGCATTGTTTAATTTCATTTTTTTAAATGTAGAAATTCTTCAAACAAGATTATAGTAAACAATTTCATTATAGTTGTTTTTTAAGGAAACCTAGATCAGATCTTGAGTAATTTTTTTTAAGGAAACCTAGATCAGATCTTAAGTAATTTTCATATCTATGAAGCAGGATGTAGACAGGAATATGTGCTATCTTTTTTTTTTTTCTTGCATATTCATAACAGGTGATACAAGTTGTGTTTCTTAATACAAGTTCCTTTAACTTAGCAGAAAACAAATGCTTGCATTGTATAACTGTCAATATACTTTAAATAATACTAGTGCTATTCACACATTAAACACATACACTGATCTATTTTTTTTTTTTAAGCATTTCACCCCAAGCAAGGCGGGAAGCCACTAGGACGCAAGGGGTTACAGAAAATATAGAGCGAGATCAGATAGGAGTGATAGAAGAGTGTATGAGGAGAAGGGTAGTGGATAGATCAAGGCAACTGGAGATGTCGATTGACATTACACTTGAATAGCTGGAGATTATAGCTCTCAGGGAAACTGGAATAGGGAAGGGAGTTCCACAGGTGAGAGGTGCAAGACATGAAGCTATTGAAGTAGAAGAGACGGCTACATTTAAGAGTTTTGACAGTGAAGGGGGTGAGAGCGGGATGCCAGCCTCGTAGGGTGCTTGAACTCATGAAGTCTGGGAACCAGCGAATGCACCTCCTTGGAGCAATTACCATGAAAGTATTTGTAGAACAGACAGAGAGAGTTGACAGTGTGTCTGTGAGAAAGTGACTGTCGACGAGATGTCAGAGCAGGGCCAATTATATTGTATATCCACCTCTGGAGCCTATCAAGAACCCCGAGGCAAACAGAAGGGGCACCAAACCATAAATTAGTATCCTCATTCTGGTTGTAATTGTGCATGTCTTACTTTCCATCCTTCATCAGGTGTCTATCATTTTAAAATCAGCTCTTTTATAAGTGTAGGTTGTTTTCTCATTCCACTCAGTAATATCACTTATCAGTTAATTCTCAATGAGGCTACTTTTACTTGTCATACTGAACCAGAGCTCATTTTTCACTGCCTGATCCAAGGAATGAACACATGACTACCAAATATCTAGATGCACTTGAACAACACGTTTTAATCCTGTGTACCATTTATTCTAAAGTACAATCAAGTAGTGGAAGAAGAATTAACTGATATGAAATGTTTCCTGCTATTGTATAGAAAAGGAAACTAAATGATCTTTCCCATGAATGGAATAAAGGGATCAATTTGAAAATCCTAGAAGGCCTCAAGAATACAACAGAAAGGCCACAAGAATACAACAGAAAGGCCACAAGAATACAACAGAAACCTGAAGGAGACCGGAAGGTACAACTGATGAAATATTGTTACTTAAAAAGATCAAAAAAGAAAACAGATGTACAAATATTTTTTAATATCAAATTTCACCCAATACAAGGCTTGTGTGCCACTCAAAGTAGTCAAAATGGCAATGCTGAATATTGTGTGTTATATGAATGAAAAAGAAGGAAATGAAGATTATTAGTATAATGACAATTGAGCCTTGAATGAAGAGGTCAAAGTTGAAGCATTCAGAGAAGCACCCATGTGGAAGTTTTTCACAAAAATGGCAGCTTTTTAGAAAAAAACTGAGTGGAACTTATTTCTTATATTTGTAACACAGAGGAAATGAGGATGATTTGACTTTGTGGAAGTGGCATGGTGTGTCCTATTTGTAAAGTCCAGAGGAATGAGTTTAGAGTATAATAGCAATTTCTCATCTCAGAAATTCTGACAAATTAAACATAGAATATCAAAATAAAGTCTCTCAAAGTCATTTATATAATCATTATATTTAAAGACACTGAAAAATGGTAAAGAAGGTTTTTGTAGTTGATTTCATGCACAAACTTTCTGTAGAGATTTGCACTTGCATTGAATTGTAGTGAGAAAGGATTTTTATAGCATTTATACCATGCCCATTTGTAATATATTAGCAAATACATGATCAAAATAGGAAAGCAAAGAGATTTCTTTGATAGTTCATGCAGGTTAGTTGGTTAAATCCAACAAGCACTTTTAATTTACTCAATGTGTATTTTCATCTGTGCTGTTCCTGTAATCACAATAAGAATTAATTTCTTTTTTTGTGTGTCTTATTTTATAATGTATTATGCTTCTCATGATTAAACAAGAAAATCATCTGATAAAGGAAGCCCCGCACATTACAGTTCATGACATGAAAATTAGTTTTGAAAATGTTTTTTGTTTTGATTAAAAATTTTCAGTCTTGAAAGTTAACATAATTATTCCATAGTTACATACAAGGGTGGACTCCAACGTTCATAGGCTTTCTATGAAGAAATGATGCTAGAGCTGTGAAATTTTGCATTATTTTCAACTCTTCTTATTAATAACAGCATTGTTTCTTTCCAGATAAACTGGCATCTGACTGTTGTTCACAAATGTCACCAACAGCACATGTATCATCATCACTGTGATACTAGTTCCCAGTCAATAGTTTTTTTTTATGTTGAGGAACAGATAATAGTCAAATCAGGGGAATAGGGAGGGAGTGATCAACCAGTTCTAAGCTATAGTCATGCACAGCAGCCATTGAAACCAAGGACTTGTGTGTTGGAGCATTTTCTTGATGTCAGTTTTATTGGGTGTTTTGGTCTTGATAGCCTTTTGTAACCACCTCAGCAAGTTTACATAGTACTTTCCATTGATGGTGTGGCCCTTCTGAAGATAGTCAATAAAATATGCCTTTGTACCCCCAAAATCTGAAGCCATCAGTTTCCCTACATTTGAAGCAGGTGAGGAGGGGTGTTTATGGCACAAAGTGATGAACCCAACATTCATCTTGAGTTAGGAAATGTTCAAGGAAATCAGCTGGATCTGCCTCAAACAATGTCAGATTTTCCCATGATGTGATCAGCC